TGTGTGCCGCAAAGAACCCCACTTGCTCTCTTTTTTCCCCCTCTCTTTGTGCCACCCTCTCTTTTCCTTCCCTCCCTCCCTCTCTCCCACACAACACCGTATGTTTCTCTCCCTCCCCCACTTCCCTTCTTGCTCCCCTCTCGGTCCCTCTATGTCCACCCTTGTCAATTGCTCCCAACTGTTCTTGTGACGATGCAGAGTGCAACATACGATCCTGATGGAGAGTATGTAGCGCATTGGATTCCAGAACTGGCTCAAGTGCCCATGCCGAAGCGCCATGCCCCTTACCGGTTGAGCACAGAAGAGCAGTTGCAATATGGTGTGCGTATTGGCGAGGGTGGCGACTATCCAGAACCAATTGTCCCCCTTAAATTTGGCGATGGTGGAGGAAGCCGCCCAGTCAATGGTCCGCGGCCAAGGAGTGCTCCTGGGAGAGGGAATTTCAGGGCTCGACCTGCTGGTAGGAGTATGTCATCCTATTTGCAGAGAGGGAATGACTGATATATGAAGGAAAGAAGGCCACTTCTTTCACTTTTTTTGTTTAGTAGAGAGTTGGATCTTCTCCGTGGGTGGCGAGTAGGAGATCTGATCGGTGGGCTGCTTCTGTAACATGTTTCCGAATTCGATATGTTCATGGTAGCATTCATACATTGGAATTGAGTGTGAGAGTGGAGCGGTTAGGGACATCCTCCAGCGAGGACAGGGAATAAGGGACCAAAAGGAGAAATGATGCAACCACTTTTGGATTGGAAACTGAAATTAATAAATCATTGGATGCCATTGATGCTTATGATTCTATGTACGGAAATGGACGATGTGAAACCAACAGTACTTCCCAAATTGCAGCTGTGTACGCGCCAGCCATTGCTACAGTGCTGCGACGGTTCGTGATTAGTGTTGTCCTGGTGCTGCAGGGTGGTACATCTCACCACGTCTTAGCATGTGTACGGCCACACTTTGGGGAAGTACTGGTTTTCGAAGATCATTGAGACACATCAGAACGTCTGTATTGTTGATCAGAGTTCAAATTCAAGAAGTGTGATTAGAAGTTCGTCAGACTCAGAATGAATGTGAAATTCACAAAGTGCAGTCAAAATAGTCAAATTGAAATTCAGAAATTGTTATCAAGTTGAAAAGCGGAATCCGGAATTGTAGATTGTCGGTGAAGGACTAGAGCTCTTTCAACATTATTTAGCAATTTCTGGGGGTTTCAGTTCACTTGAGAGGATCTCTGAGCTATGGCTAGATGTTCAAATGGCCCAAAAAAGAGAAGAAAGAAAATCAGCGTCCTTGAGAATCAACTGTTGATAGACAGACCGGAGCTCAGTTTCTGCTAGATAAGAACACTTAGGGTATACTCACAGCAGGGCTTTTTCTCTACCACGACTGGATGGCCCAGACTTCACAGAGTCTATCAAGCAAGAGGAGCAAACATAAATAACTGTCCAATGGGACCTGATAAAAAACAAACTATCTTTTCTGAATACTCAGACCGAGATCCGGGCAACAATCCAAAGATTGAGCAACTGGGGGGTAAGCTGGCAAAGGTGGTATGGAAAGGAGAGGATGGGGAAGATGAGGTTTAAGCTCATATGGGACTTCTCTCTCTATTTTCATCATTGGACAAAGTTGGGCGTTTCAACCCCCATGCGACCACCCACGGATTTCCTGGACCTCTTCCCCCCCTCCAACCTGGCTCACGTGGGTATGTGATGGTATGGAGGATGCTGAGTCTGTCATTTCAGTAGGGTGTATCAAACTCATGCCTTTCTGAGACTTTCTGAGCTGTCATAGCCTGTCATGGAATGCTGAGTTGGTCATTTTGGTGGGGTGGTATCGAACTCATGCCTTTCTGAGCTGTCGTAGCTGCCACGGAATTCTCAGATTGCGTGTTGGTTGCCACACTGCAGATGATAAAGGGGCTGCTCGAGGGGTAGTGGCTGTTCTGGTGCCCTGTGGCAGAGTTGAAGAGGCAGCCCCTTGTTATCACTCTTGGTTCACACTTTCCTCACAGTCAATCCCCTGGACTTCCGGGCCAATTAATGCTGGTGGATGAAGGTTCCCATATACCTGAAATCTCATTGTATCCTTGCTCAGGGGATGCTGAACCCGTTTTCCAGCAGGTGCAGCTCCAGTGGGTGGGGTGGGTGGGGTGGGTGGGGTAGGGTGGAGCAGAAAAAAACCTGTGCCATACGAGACATGTATACATACAAGTCAAGATACAACCATATGTGTACATGGACTGTAGAGGCGCTTGTTGACTTTGTGGAATTATATGGTGGTAGCTTGTATGCGGACATGTGTCATATGGCACAGGTTTTTCTGGTATACCCCACAGCCCGATGACCCGCCTCAAAGTTTCTTCTGTTTTATGTTTGGGGGGTGCTTGCTACAGTGCACTCCTGGTCTTTTTCTTTGTGTTTGTTGTCTTTGTTTAATAATGTGCGTGGTGCGGCCCTAATGTAGTGGCCACAAGTTTGAATCGTTGTTATCCTTCACTTTTTTTAATCCACCAGTGGAACTTCGATGATATGCACAGATCTTTCACAGGTCAAATTGAGCTCCCAACAGCCCCTCGCTCCTTCGCCTTCCCTCTCCCACCAGCCAGACAAACTCCTCTTTGCGATGATAAGTGCTGATCATAATTTTCAATTTTTTTTTGTGGGGAAAACAGGAAGCCAGGGACCTCACAATTCTGCTGGAACTGGGTTGAGCATTTCAACCGGGGCCGGGCGCAGCGCTGCCGGGAGCGCTGCCCCCGATGCGACCAGGCGCGCCCGTTAGGAACCTCGCGTTTTCACATGGTAGCAGTGGGTTACCGGTGTGAGTGAGGGAGTGCATGGCAAGGAGGGGGCAGGGAGGATATGGAGAGGAGCATTATTGAAGCACGGTGCCGCCCGGCGCGACCAGGCGCGCCCGTTAGGAACCTCGCGTTTTCACATGGTAGCAGTGGGTTAGCGGTGTGAGGGAGGGAATGCATGGCAAGGAGGGGGCAGGGAGGATATGGCGAGGAGCGTTATTGAAGCACGGTGCCGTCACCCGTGAAGTGTATATAAACTTAGATGACGTATTTGTTGGGGTGGCGGGCATGGACGAGGTGCGTCGGGCGATGTCGCATGAGCAAGTGGGCTATGGGGGGCAGGGGTTGTTAAGGGAAGTGTTTTTCGGGTGACGAAGGAGCGTCAGCTTTGGTGTTTTGGCCGGAAGGGGGAGCGGATTCTCATGCTGTACATCAAGGGTTTCCCCTTCTTCCTCAACAGGGTGGTAAGTAAATCTTTTTGAAGGCTTAAACCTCCTGTGGCGACTCGCCAACGGGTTTGGCGAGGAGGTGCCGCACTGTTTTCGATTCTTCTTGGGGGATTGAAGATGGTCGTTGAAGTTTTCAGTGCTGGTAATGCCGTAGAGCTTAGTGGCTAGCGGTGGGAGGGAGGGTGTCTCCCCTTCCCTGAAAACGGTGGGGTAGGGTTTGAGGGGGAAGAGGTATGGAGGGGATGTTGAGGAAAAGGGGATGGAGGTTTCTCGTTGGTTGATAGTCCTTAGGGTATGGTCCTGCCCATGGGTGGTTTGGCTTGCTCATACTCAATAATTACCAATAATCTTTCGATTTTTGATTTGATTTGAAATTAGGGTCGTTCGATTGTTTGCCTCTTTCTGTGATTTCCCAATTAGCAACTCCGAAGTAGTTGATGCTGCTTAATTCTGATCAGTGATCTCAAGGGTCGTATGATTTTTTTGTCTTTGAAATAATTTCATTCTGTTTTTGGAATTCACTTCTTACAATTTTTCTCAAAAACGTGCTAATTCCTTTTGCTAGACAATTCTCAAGCTACGGTTTGAAATCCACCTTTTGTCTGATCGTTTTAAATAAAGTCGTAATTCTGAAATTGAAATGGTATTCACCTGTTCGCAGTAGCCGATGCAGATCCCAGGGCTCGGTCCCTAGACTTACCTTACCTGTGTACAGTATCTGTGTCGTCCCAGGAGTTGAACCCATGACCTGTGTCCTTTTCCCAGTGGGTAGGCCGTCGTAGGTCTGTAGGTTATAGGGGTTCGATCTGTAGACCTGTCGGATAGGAGTCTTAGCAAGGTAGCTCCTCCGAAAGGTCAAGGTCGTAGCTGCTACAGTCTTGAAGGGTCAAGGTCGTAGCTGCTACAGTATCGAAAGGCCAAGTCCACGGCCTTCCAGAAGGTCCTAGTAGTGGCCTTTCGAAGCTGCTCACGTTTAGGCTGAGGCAAGTGGGCAAGTGGTGGAGTCCACCCGTGCTGAGTCAGCAGTCCCAGTCCCAGTCAGTCCTAGTCCAGTCAAGCAAGTACCGCATGGGACTGTGTGCACCATGGGCATGGGAAAGGGGCAGACCAACGAGATACAAAGGTATAAATCAAGAGGCAGCGCCCAGCCATTCATTAATTCATGTGTAAGCCATGCGGATGCGCTGCCACAGCGACTTGTGTGAGGTGGTCTACAGTGAGCCCGAAGACGAAGTGGGCGAGAGAAGGAGCTTAGCCATAGTGATATGGTAGAAGCGGCCATAGCCGCCATAGCTGTTAGGAGAGTGTAGCGTGTGTGTGCGTATGTGTGTACAGAGTGCCGCGTGTGGGATATCCAGGGTGATCCTGTGTGTGCGAACAGAGAGTTGTACAGGCGTTGTGCCGCCATAGCCATTTGAAGTGAACTTGTACCTGAAGTGTGTCTTGGTTACTATATCTTTGAGTTTTCGAGTGGGCGCTTGTCGCCAGTTTGCTGCGCAACCTGATTGCATGCATGTGAAGTGTGAAAGATAGTGAGACTGATTGCAAAATCTATAAGTCTTATGCTAAACGCTTCTCAAATTGTGGTTTGGGATTCTGTTTCGAAAATCCTTCTTGATATCTAAACCTAAATCCGAATGTTTTTTCCTTAAATACACATGTCTATTAGAAATTCCAAAGTATTCCAGTCCGTTTTTTCTTGAAACATGTTGCGATTCCTAAGTTCTCCTAGGGTTTTTGTGGCGAGATAGTTTGTTTTTCAATATTTTACCTACTTTTTTTCGTAAGAGTTTCGCCAGAATTTTGAACAAGGGCCCCATGGGATGGTCAAGTGGAGCATCTTGTAGGGTCTCGGGGGATTTGTTTTGAAGTTGGGGGTTAAGGTCATCAAATGATTCTTCGCAAGGACGGAGAGGGGATGGAATAGGGCTTTCTAACGGGTACCGGCTAGTGGGGAGCTCTTATCAGATTGGCGTTGGGTAGTTTAGGCTGTCCAATGGGTACCGGCTGATGAGGGTGAGACTTGGCGCGATTGGTGTTGGGTAGTATTGTTTCATCCCTTTAAGGATGGAGACTGAAATTCTTGTGGGGGCAAGGAATTTCAGGGTGATGATGGTACCCCCCCCTTGCTGAGATGAGGTTCTCTGGACTCTTTACGAGGACGGAGTCTGGGAGGACGAATGAGGTTCTTCCTTTCGATGATAGAGGCAGGATGGTTCGGGTTGTCTGTTTTTGGGGTTGCTGAATTGTTCTATTATCGTCAGAGTCTCGTCAGGGTCTTAACATGGGACAGTCAGGGGCAGTATCTTGTAGGGTTTCAGGGGATTTGTTTTGAAGTAGGGGGAAGGGGCACGGAATGATTATTTGCAAGGACCGAGAGGGGGATGGAATGTGGCTGCTTGATGGGTACCGGCTAGGAGGAGCTCTTATCGGATGCGATTGGCGTTGGGTAGTTTAGGCTGTCCGATGGGTACCAGCCAGGGTTGTCAAGCCCCGGCCCCGGGGCCCCGGCGGCGGTCCGGGGGTGGGCACCCCCAGCCCCGGATCCAGACCCCCCCCAAAAAAATAAAATAAAATAAAACAAAATAAAATAAAATAAAATAAAATAAAATAAAAAATAGTGGGGGGTGCGCAGCGAGAGCGCGCACCACATGGGCTAAACCCCAAAAATGGGGTTTTATGCCCCACCCCGGACCCCGCCCGGGGCCACACCCACCACTCCTAGGACCGGGGTAGCTGCTGGTGCGGGGACGGGGGCGGGGTTGAGTGTTGGCGGGGGC